TGTTGTTCAATTCTCGCCTGAAGCTTTTCCTAGGAAAATTGAGGTCACGGTGATCTGGTCCATACACTATTACACAGGTATTCCCACGTGGAGTTGTAGAAATCACCCCTGAGAGCAAAGGCACATTTAAGGTAAATGGATAGTGCTTGAAGTATTATTGGAGCAGAGACTTCTCGAAAGACAAATCCACTGTTCGTCTTGAGTCACCGGAGTAATCCCATAACGATATAGTTGAGCTATCGACTATAAACTAGCGTTGGATGGGAGACAACTCATCATCTCTGCCCTTTTATTTATTTTGCTTTCTGCAGTTATTTTATCAATTTTCTTCTTCTTCTTCTTCTTTTTTTTTTTTTTTGCATTTTGGTAGTTCTAGGTCAACGATCATTTAGTAAGTTCACACATCATCCATGCATAATCCAAACTGTGTTTTTTATGTTACAACATGCTTTTGCAAACCATGTTCTTGCATCCACACGCATTTCAAGGTTTAACATATGTTTGGATATGTTGCATGAGTTTTAGAATGATATTTGGACAGTGTGGGGTGAAAAGAGGTTTTGGTGAAAATTGAATTGTTTGCCTGTTTAAATAAGATTTTGCGTGTTTCGGGGCAAAAATAAGCAAGTTTTGTATTTTGGAGAATCCACTTGAGTTTTTTTTAAAAAAAAAACTCATTTGCACATGTTGGGCACGCAACACGAGGTATCCTAAGTCACCAGGGGAAATTAGCATGTTGTTTGGAGATATAGAGTTCGAAATTCTAGGAAATTTTCCTTTCGTGATTTTTGCCGACTTCAACATGATTGGAAAAGTTTTCATTCACATTCTAATCCTTGCATGTTTGAATAAGATGGCACTCACATCGAAGTTTGGGGGGTGTCGAATGATAGCATTTGGGATTTCGTTTTCAAACACTACAAAAATGGGCCTTTTATCCAGTCATGTGGTCGCAAGACCACGTTGAGGGCCTGAATTGGCCCTGAACTGTGACTCTATGCGACCACATAGAGTCCTATGCTGTCGCATAAGGGACCTGTCGAGGCCCAAAGTTTTTTAAAAACACACGCACGCCTATTTCTCTCAACCCACGTCTCTCCTAACACTCACCCCCACTAACTCACACCCAAACTCGACATCATTCTATAACCCCCAAGGACCACAACACATTCCATCACCTCCACCACCCTTCCATCTCAAATTTCGTGGTAATGTAGATCTCCATTTTTATTGTGCTTTACATGTCTTTTCACTTTGTTTTGGAGAAGTTTTGATGATTGACATGGCATTTGGGATTAGGTAGATTATGGATTCTGTGGTGATGAATTGGGTTAAGGTAAAAATTTTGGTTTGCTTCAAACCATGATTTTTCCCAATTTCACACTTAAATTGGAACGCTTACAACATGTTTGATGAATTGTTTTTGTAACATTTCTTATGACATTTCGACCCCTTTTACTTTTGGTACCATTCAATTACACTTGCAATGGTGTGTTGCGTTGCGATGTCTTGCCACATCTCGATACACACATCACAATCACATTGAACACTACATAGGCACCTCATGGCTAGGTACACGGCATCC